TTTCCCCCCCCCCCCCCCCCCCGACTTTAAAAAAAAGATTGAGATAATAGTGGTTCTGCCATCAAAATCATGACTGGGCGTTTTGGAACGCCTCGCGGGAGCGGGCAGCAGGCTGGGGCTGGCTGGACTGCAGCAGCGTTGCAGCGGGCATATCGGAGCCGTAAATCACCACAGTGTGCCGAGCGGAGCTCAGCCCCAGGCTGAGCCGAGGGGCGGAGGAGCGAGATGCCTCTCGGTGAACTGCCGCTTCCCAATAAATCCTGCTCTGCGCGGGACTTGGAGCATATGGAGGGGTTTGAAAGGCGGATGCCGTGAGTTCATCTGACTGAAACAGACCCTCTGGAACTCAGTCACGATAACTTTTACCTCCCCGCTGGCTCTTTGAAGGAATTTGGAGTGTGAAATTGTAGCATTGATGTACTCCCTTTCTTTTCCTGAGTGTTTGCTGCTGTCTGGGGTGGAGAGAGAAGGGCTCGGCGGTGACGAGGGTGCTGACGCCATGAAAGAATATGGACTTTACACAGTAAAAAGCTGGAAAGTGCAGCAGTGGACACAAGTAGCTATGAAACACGATGCCCAAAGCTCCAACTCTCTGGACCGACTGGGGGGGGTGAGGGGAGAATGCAGATGACGCATTTGATTTTTAAAAAAGTGGGTAGTGTTGACAGAAACTCTATCTTGATTAAGGGCGGTAGGAAAGCATTCGATTCCCACTGTGTCTTGAGCTTGGTTACAGTTGGTTTTGGCTCTGATTCTTCTGTTTGCCTTCTTTGGGTCCTACCCTGACTTCTTCCCAGTCGTGTTGCCGATGCTTTTACTGACATTCTTCCCCTGAACTCTTGCAATTCTGTGCCGGGGAGCCGAGAGCTTCTCGGTGCAGCCGTCGGTGAGAGGACTGCTGATTTGCTCTTGAACATTTTCTTATTTACGAAGTGTACTCCTGGGTTGAACGATGTGTGGTCTGCCCAGACAGATGGTTTAGATCTGAGACTTTGTAGATTAAGGATATGCTGCTTTAGAGTTGATTGGCCTCATAAAAGCAAAGTTCAGGTGATTTCCTTCGGGAGCGTTTCGTAACACATCCTCATGGGCTTTGCCTTGCAGCTGTGCGAGGCAGCATGAAAGCATGAAGACACCTTTGCGAAAAGGTTTTGTTATGATTTAAGGGTTTATAACTTTGTTGCTGGCTTTATTCCTTTTGGGTTGAGTTTAATATCACCTGTTGACACAGGGACTCCTCCTGCTGTCAGTGCTCCACTAATTAAGTGCAGGGACTGTTCTTGACGTGGTCACACTCCTTGGTTTGTTTATAGCCTGGCCAGCCTCGGGGTAGCGCCGTGGAATGCAGCAAGGGCCCTATGCTGCCCTTCTTGCTTTTGGCCAGTAACAACACTCTGTGGATCTCTTCTCCTGCTTTGAAAAATCAATTTACTCTATAGAAGAGCACGTTTGAGTCATTTGCTCTTGTTTGTAGCCCTTCAGAGGGAGGAAGAGTGCTCTGGAGTCAACCTCATCAGGCTCTTGCTTCATAAACCTGTGCCCTGGTGAGGGTAAGACCTCTGCCTTGCTGTGCGTGGTGAGGGAGGAAAGGGCAAATCCTTTTTTTCTCTGGAAAAGCTTTGTACTTCCTTTAAAAAAAAAAAAAATAATAATACTAGCACCTACAAGTACAAAGAAAACCTTCAAAACTCGATCTTTTTGGTAGTTTTGAACCCGCAAATGTCAACAGTGGGAAAAATCTCCTTAGTTTTATGACAGGAAAACATACCAAAGGCTGTCCCGGCACCTGTCTCTAGAAACCGTGTGGGGAAAGAGAGGTGGAGAATGATTTAGCTGGGGTTTGGTACAAGAGGTGACCAACGCTTGTTGTCTAAAGGACTGCAGCGGCACAAGCGGAGGGCTCGTGGGGACAGCGTGGCGGTGAAGATGTCTCACCCAGAATCTCGCTATTCCTTCGACGTCCCAAACCCTTGCATCGACTTTGCGACTCTGAACGATGACGACGGGCCCAATGCAGACTCCTGGTTTGGTAAGCTGCGGCCGACTCCCTGGTTTGTTTTCTCTTTGGCTGAGGGCTTGGTGTGATGCTGGTTTTGGGCCTGGTCGTGTTGTGTCATTCATCGTGTGGGGGTTTTTTTTAGGTTTGTATTTAAACTTTGATTTGTCATCTGTGAATTCACGGGTTAATTTGTTAGCATCGTGATGGGATTCTGAGGGATGGTTAAAAAATTCCTAATGTGGTGTGTCTAGTGAAAGCCTTTCTTTCCTCACAGACCAAAAAGCCAATCTGGAGAATGTCCCTCCTGCCGAAAATCTGGCAAAGGTCTCGCAGAACAGCCCCACTTTTTCAAAGCCTGATATTATTCTGTCTTCTGTCACGTCAGAAGAAATAACGAGTAAGTTGCCATGGTATGCGGGGAGAGAATACATTTTACCTGCTTTTCACTGGCAAAACAAAAAGGCCTCTGTCTGGCCTTTGTGGGGCCATCTTCACGTTTTGTTGTCCAGCGAGGTCTCGCGTGGTTTCACTTCAGCACTCTCCTGTGCCTGTGTATATTTGTATGTATGTGACTTGACCTGTGTCACTGTTCTCAGGTGAAAGCCATGGTGAAAAGGATGGTGGAGCAGAACTGCAAGCCAGTGCAGTTCCTCAGAATATTGTTGGATCCCTGACGACCTGGAGAGCAGCTGCTCCTGCAGAGGCTTCTCAGAGGTGAAATACTTGTGTTCCTTTTGCATGGAGATTGGGGACGGTGTAACTAAGCAGGTCCTTGCTCTCAGGATCTGCGGTTCTGGCTGTTCTTGGGCCATCCTGTGGGTGTGAAGTTCTCCAGCACGGTGTGTGGGGACAGCTGATCTGCTTGCGAAGCCGGAGGGATGACCTCTAGGGGTGGAAATGTAGTGCAGTGTCTCACATACTTGTCAAATGAGACTTCGGTAGCACTAGGAGCTTCTGGCATGTGAAGCTATCTGAAACTGAAGTGCCTTATAAAGTTTCTTTGTTTATATCTGCCTGAGTTGGGCAGAACTCATTCTTGATGTGAATGCGAGGGGCTCTGTATGCTCACATATGCCGAAGAAGATTCGGTTTCCAGATGGTTAAACTTAAATAATTCATGCTGTATTTGGATCGTTGTGTTAAACACACAGCTCACATAGGGAGCATGCTGGAGTGAGGCGATGCCCTGACCTAAAAAGTGTTACCTGGATCGTGTGTCTTCTCAGCCTTGGGAAAGCTAACTTGCCCTTTCTGTTCTGCTCTAGGATGGGCAGGAGACAGGCTACAATGCAGAGAAAAACCCAGCAACGCAAACAGCCAGCTAGAATCAAGGCAGAGAGAAATTCTAATGCCTTGGTTAACAAGGAAGAGGTTCCACCCCTGAAAAAAATGAGAATGTACGTCATCAAAATCCTTCTGTTTGGGGCTGGGAAGGGGGATGCAACTGTTTCTTTGGCAAGAATTTCCACCTGGCTGAGAGGGTTGCCACAGGAAGGTTAGGGGGAGGTGACCCGATTCCTGATGCTGGTTTCACGTACAAGAAGTGGCTGTAGGTCCCGAAGGAAATGCTCTGCTTGGAGGTGGGATGTGAGTGAAATAAGCTTGGGTTTCTTAAGCTTCTTACTCCGTACTCCGTGTCTGTCACCTAGCTTTAAATTTGGCTTAACTCCTCCACCAGGAAGTCATCAGGCAGTTGTAAGCTATGAAAGAGTTGCAGCTAAAATATTTCTCAAATTAGCTTAACCACTAAGATATCATATGGTGATAAGCTTGAGGGCAGGAAATTGAACACTTCTGTACCTCGATGAACTACAGCACACCTACCTCCTCAGGAAAAGCCTGAGTTCCAAAAACTCTGTAATTCATCTTCCCTTCTGCAGCTGTAGGGTACCGGGGAAAGCTAGACGGTCTGTGCCTGGGCCCGTGGTGAGGTAAGGCCGGTCTGGCATAGCTTAAACTCACCAGGTGTTGGGGTTATGCACGGTGGTGAGAGCTGCAGGTGATCTGTCATTTAGAGCACAGTTCATTGGAGTGGTTCGCTCTAACAGCTCCTTACCTTAGTTCTGGCAACAGAGAGAAGCCGACAGAAGTAGCCACGAAGAGTGAGCCCCTCCAGAATCCCAACTTCTCCCCAGCGAGAGGGAAAAGCAAGCTGACCATGCCCTCCACGCCAACAATGTTAAAGTAGGTAGCTTGCTTGTGACTTGTCTTTGCTAATCACGGTTGATTTAGGTGGCAGCCCTGGCTAGAGTGTTCTCAAATTCTACTTAACGTGTGGCGGCATCATGTTTAGCAAACACCGGATCAGGACAACAATATTAGAATATTAGGAACTTGTGCTTTTAATTTGAGGAAAAAGGTGGTTTTTCTAATGGGTGAAGAACGCATGCAGCAAATGGGTGTGCAGGATAGCAGTTACCTGCAAGCTTTCCTGAGCAAATAAAATCCCAACAGATCTTTTCTAAAGAGGACACTTTTGTAGTGAAAGATGCTTCTGCAGTGAAGTCGGAGATAAGCGAGTTCCTTTGCACTAACGTCACGCTGTGAGCCACCGAAGCGGGAAGGCGTATCTCAGTCTTTAACATCCTTCTGCAGGAGGACCAATCTTTCCAGCAAGCTGAAGAGTACAGAGGAGCAAGAGCTGGAAAAGATGCAGCAGTTGCAGCGGGAGGTCATGGAGCTGCGGAGGAAGAACGAGGAGTCTCTGAAAGCAGCTATTGCTGGTGCAGGTGGGCTCGGCTGGAGAGTGCTGCACAGAGCTGTACAAGTACCTTTAAAACAAACATTCCAGACTTTGTGATTGGGATTAGGTGGCTTTTAATGTTGATTGGCCCCTAAACTGCCTGGAAATGGGTTTGGTTTTTGTTACGTGTTGAAAGGTTATAGATGAGTGCTCCAAAAACTGTTCAAGTTATTAGAAAGTAAATGCCTCCTCTGCCATCTCCCCCACCCCAAAAGGCTTCCGGACCTTACATGCTCTTTTTCTGTAGGACAACCCATGAAGAGAACTACTGGTCAGGTAACAAAGCCAGTTGACTTCCACTTCTGCACAGAGGATAGAATTAAACAACATGCAGAAAGCCAGTCTGGGAATGAGTACAAGGAAGTGGATTTTGCAGCAGTACTGAGGAAGCATCCTCCTTCTCCGGTGAGAACCTGAATATTGCCAGCACTCAGCTGACTGAGTTAGGACTTGGGTCTAATGTTCAGCGTTAGCACCTTTTCAGTAAGGGGAAGAGACTGATGCTGTGAATCAGTGGGGGAAGGAAATGTCATCGCAGCGTCCTGTGTTAAGCGGCCACAATAACGGGAGTGTTTTGTCTCCAGGTGCGCCTGCCGAAGGGACCCACTGTCCCCAAACCCTTCAATCTGTCCCAGGGAAACAAAAGAAAACTCGAAGAAACCACATCGGATTATGTGTCCCTTGCTGAGCAGGTAGAAGCATTCCAAAAACGCACACCCTCTCGTTACCATTTGAGGAGCAGGAAATCGGAGGAAGGTGAGCAGTGCTGGCTCTGTCCAGCCAGGAGACTGTCCAGGAGATGGTGGGAGAGCAAGAACGACGCTGTGACTGCTCTAGTGAGCAAAGGGTCTGTGTCTGCAGGCCTTGCCCTTAACTGCTGGTCTCTGTGACTTTTATAGGCCCAGTTCCAGGAAAGTTGGTGAAGGCTCGGCTTACAAACCCTAAAACACCAGTGCTGCTAACAAAGCAGCGCTTCAGACCTACCACCTGCAAAACTACAGCTGAGTTAGAAGCAGAGGAAATTGAGAAAATTCAACAGTAAGTAAAGGTTTACTCTAGTCCTCCCAGGGGGAGTTGTACCACACTGGAAATACCCATCAGTTACCAAACTATCACTTGTCAGGAATACCCTTTTTGTGTAAAAGCCTGAGTAGCATGAAAACATTGAGATTATTTTAGCTTGTGCGTAATCTTCCGGCTCTGATCACAAGGATGTGCAAAGCAGTCGGTTAATTTTGAAGAAAGCGTGCTTAGGAGAGCTGATCTTGGGTTGAGCACAGCTTATGATCAGTAAAGCAAACCCAGCAGAGCAGTACAGCCTGCCAACACTTCACAACTCGCCTGGAGACAAAGCTTTGGATTTCCAAGGAGCCATCCATAAGGTTTTTCTCTCACGTCTTGCTGTTTCAAAAGCAGAGGGGGAATTGCTAACTAGAGCCGCACACGATGTGACGTGTGCGCGTGTGGCACAAGCGGCTCTGTACCTGACTTCTGCTGAGAGAGAAACCATTTGCCAGAAGCTGCATCTTGTCAGGTGCGGTATATCGGTGACTATCTCTGTCCTTCCTGTGTAGGTACAAGTTCAAAGCACGAGAACTTGATCGCAAAATCTTTGAGGGTGGACCCCTCCTGCCCAAGAAAATCCCTGTGAAGGAACTCACGCAACCCGTTGGCTTTGAGTTGGAAGTAGAAAAAAGGATTCAGGAGCGCGAGAGTAAGAAGCAGCAGGAGGAAGAGCACTTTGAATTCCATTCCAGGCCGTGTCCGACAAAAATCCTGGAGGATGTTGTGGTAAGAAGTTTAGAAATACCCAGACCTGGGGATTAGGACTGAGGTGACAGCTTCGAAATGTCTGTAGCTGTGCTGTATTGTGTATGTAATCATCAGTAAACACTCTGTCACCAGGGAAGCACTGCAGTGGGTACGCACTGTGCTAGGTCGGGTTGTTTCTCTGTAGCCCCCTCTTGGCATTAGCCTTGGGTAACTCCTTTCTGGCTCTTCTGAACAGGGCGTTCCGGAGAAGAAGGTGCTTCCTGTTACAGTCCCCAAGTCTCCAGTCTTCACCTTAAAAAGCAGAACCCGAACGTCTGGCAGAGATGAGGAAAAGGTAACTGCTGCGAGGGGCTGTGTTCGAGGCGGCTGGGCCAGGCGGCTGCGCCTCTGCCAGCAGGGTGTGACGGTCTGCTTCGGTCTGTCCCTTCCTCCAGTGCTCCTCTTCCTCTGTGCCGTCCCTTCTAGCGATCCACTTGCTGCTGCTTATTTTACATAAATGAATTCTTGTACAAAATGAAATAACTCCATTTGAACACGGGGGCACTGACTGAGGTTTGAGGTGTCGCCGCTATGAGTGAGGACAGTAAACTGAAGATTTCTAAAGGACATTGCCCTTCCCCATTCTGTTCTTGGGAAGGGTAAATATTGCAACCGACCTTTCACCTCCCTGCAGTCACTAGATCCCTGGAGGTGGGGAGCAGGATTTTAGAATTCATCGTGTCCTTCCTCCTTTCCCTCTTGTGAAGGGGATTTTAAAAAATTACAGTCTAATTTGAATGAGTACAAGAACTGAGAGCGCTTTGGGAGGAGGAAGGACTTCCCTGGGGCTCGGGATGCCTGTAAATTGGTTCTTTTTGGATTAACTAATTTCTTCAGTGTCCAGAGCGTTTGCTTGATGCTGTTGTGAGCCTTCTTGAAGGAACTCTAGTATTTATTAAAGGAACTCTAGTGTTCGTTGGCTTTGCTTGGCAGGACTTGGAGTCTTTCTACAAAAATCTGGTGCTGTGTCAGATCCTAACACTAATATCCCTTTAGGAAAAAGAGGTGGTTCCTGTGATCAAAGCGAACCCTATGCCACATTACGGAGTGCCCTTCAAACCTAAAATGCCGGAGCAGAGGCATGTGGAAGTTTGCCCTTTCTCTTTTGATGCCCGTGACAAAGAGCGGCAAATGCAAAAAGAGAAAAAAATAGAGGAATTGCAGAAGGAGGAGGTAAGAAGAAAAGCTGCCTTGGATTCCACTCATTAAGCAAAAAGGGTGTGGCAGGACTTGCCTCTTGCTGTTGGCTATTAGTCCCAAAGCTTCATGCCTTTGAGGAAAGGGTGATGAATATTTCAAATTGTTTCCCTCAGGTGCCGAAGTTCAAAGCGCTACCTCTGCCTTACTTTGACTGCGTTAACCTGCCAGAAAAGAAGGTGAAAAACCCAACTCAGCCTGAACCATTCAATCTGCAGGTTGATGAACGGGGAGCTGCCAAGCTCCAGAGCTGGAAACAGCAGGTAGGATGAGGACGGTAACGGCTGTGACCAGTCTGAAAGCGGCTGGTGGCGTTGTGAGTGACTCTGTCGGAAAGTGTCCTGCTTGAGTTGAATCGGGATCGGAGTTTGAGCGACGAATTAGCTCGTCCTTGGCATGAGAGCTGTGCTATGGGTTAAGGGTTGGTGGATTGGTTGGGTGTTTTTTTTCCCCCTTTTTGGCAAGTGATGGGATTTACCACAACGCGTGACCAGCTGTGGGGTATTTTCGAAGTAGCAGCTCTGTGCGGTTGGATCCCTTTGACCCTCTCTGCTTGGGGATTCATTGCCATATCAATTCTAAACTGCTTTTCTCATGTGAAGTCTGCAGGGGACACATGAAACTTTCTCAGGCTATTTTTGGCAAAAGAAACTGGCAGGCAACAAGTGACACAACTCTTTGGCCTCCATATGGTTGTCTGTGCAAATGATTTGATCCAAGACAACCTGGCTCTTCCAGTGCTGGGAGTGCTGAGGTCTGGGGGGAGGGAGGTGGTCTTTGTTATGCCTGGCACTCGATGGGCTCCCTTCTCCCGCAGCTTCAAGAAGACTTGAAAAGACAGAAAGAGGCAGCGTGTTTTAAAGCGCGTCCCAACACAGTCGTCTACCAGGAGCCTTTTGTGCCTAAAAAGGAAAATAAGCTGTTATCAGGTAGAGTACTAGTACTTGCTAATAACTCTGAACTGATGCAATTAAATGATGTTTAGACTGGCTGTTGCCTCTCCTTCATCAGCACAGCCAATAGTGCCTTGCACTTAATCAACTAATTCCCTAACAGCTTGTGTCCCCGAGGAGCGGGGGAGTTTCCTCTCGGCTGCCCCCCTGCCCCGAGCTGCCAGGGCAGCTGTATTTAACAGCCGTGCCACAATTGGGGGATGATTGATGTGTGCCAGCACGGGATAAGGTGAACAGCACACAGGGAGCTCCCTGGGGGGGCAGCTGGCATTTCTGCAGCAGCTGTCAGACTCTTCCTCCCGTTTCTAATGAGTTGAAGGCATCTACAGCTTAGGGTAGACTAAGCTGCGGAGGGTACAGAACCAGCCAAAAACCTGCTTGTACTAACAATTGTGTGCTTGCTCCCTCCTGTGAGAACGCCAGTGTCGGGGTAACGTCTGTTAAACGCTCGTGTTTGGGCGCGAGGTTTTCTCTTTTCCCGAAGCCTGGAGGTATCTACTCGCCATTCTCGCAAGGTGAAGCGCTCCTGAGTGAGGCTTCCCTTTGACACTAGTGCTGCTCTGCTTTACCTGGCCGTCTTTGCCCCAATGTTCTCTCCTCTATTTCTAAACTTAGAGAGCCTTTCTGGTTCTGTAGTTCCTGAAAGCTTTGAGCTGGCGACAGAAAAAAGAGCTAAAGAGCGGCGAAAGTTTGAAAGACGATTGGCGAATATGGAAGTTCTAAAGGAGAAGTGTCAGGAGCACCTCAGACGGCGACTAGAGGAGTATGAAAAGCAAAAAATTGCGAAGCTCAGACAAGAAATGGTAAGTGAGCTATTTCTGAACAGGGGCCGTAAGGTAACCCAAGGAGATGTGTGAATATCCTGAGCGAGCTAATGTCAATGTTGAGCTGCATTAAGACTGTCTTTCCAAGTCTTCCTGTTGCAAACTGTCTCCTCATTAACTGTACAACTGGTCTTAAAAAAAACCCAAAACCAACCAAAAAACCAAACCAAACAAATCCCAGAGTCGGCTGCTTTTGGGAGCTGCACAACGGTCTTTGGGACAGCCACAGCCCCAAGGTGTGCCATGCATGTTCCTGGTGGCTCGCTCAGTGGTGTGTCACGGACACCTGCCTTCATCCCACCAACGGCTCGCCTGCAATTTTCAGCTTGATTATAACTGCGAATATTTTGCTTCATTTTGTCCTCGATTTTTTATTTTTTTTTTAACAGGTTCACAAGGCAAACCCAATACGCAAATACCGCAACGTAGAAGTGAAGCCCAGCGATCAGCCGCTGACCATGCCCAAGTCTCCCAACTTCTCGGATAGATTCCGGTGCTGAAACGCATCCACGTGATAGTAGGAGGGGGAGATCCAATCCCTCTCTGCTCTCCTTGTAGGCAGAGAGGAAACAGGTTTGTGTTTTTAAGTGACTGCTCAGCCTCAACTCCTACACTTGGTCCCATTATTGTTACATTGAGTAGTTTAACTCTACCAGAGGCGGGTGGCTGGGGCGCCATGTCCAGGCGGTGCTGTACAGCCTCCATGGCCTTGCTTCCCATCTAGATATCTTCTTCTCTAAAGACTTAAACCAGGCTGTGATATTGTTTACAAACATTGTGTACCTGAACTCAATAAAAATTCCTAAGCTGATTGCTGTCTCTTGCTGGTGGGCTGAATTCTTTTGCAGAAGAGTTGTTGGTGAAGGGCCCTCTGTGAACGTACAGGGGTGAGCGTTGGGGAGAGCTGCCTTCGTACCTCTGAGAGCTGGTTTTCAGGGGCTGTTTTTTAGGCTTTTAGTCTGGATCAAGCTTGAGTTGTGTGAAGTAACGTGAGGCTTCTGCAAGTCAGCATATTGCAGGTCTGACATTTCTTGTTGATGTTTAGAGGAGCGCTAATACGCACCTTGCCCGCACTTTTTAAAGCAGCTCCCTGCGTATATTAGAGCGTTAAACCTTCTGCTGGTTTGTAGCTGAAGTCATTCTATTTGAGGAACCACTTAACTGGCAAACGACTTGCTGCGAGCTGCCTCCCCGGCTCCTGCCAGCGCCGTCCTCTTGGCTGGAGACGCCTCGTCTCCGAGCCAGCCTAGTGCCGCCAGCAGAACTAAATATAGAGCACGGGCTCGAATGTGCTGGAGGACAGAACTTCCAGCATTGTCAAGAGGTGATCGGATTTAGATTAAAATTTACTGAGTCATGTGATTTCTTACCGTAGCACCGTGATACAATTTCTTACCTTGTCAGACTGTGCTTTAGGTTTTTCCTTGGACTTGTCTTAACCAGAAAGAGAACTCCAAAAGGCCGTGTGAGGGCCAGAAGGGTTCGGGGATACAGCTACACCCAAATGATGGCTCAGGCACTGCTGCTGCCCGCTGCCCTGTCGCTGTCACCTTCTGCTAACCCAGGTGATCCTGCGGTGCCGTTTCCCGAGCCGCAAAGAGGCTGGTGTGCGGCCCCTGGCAGAAAGAATGAGAAACAAGTGCTCTAGTTCAAGCTTAGAAATGAAAAAAGCTCTTGGGGCTGGCTTGGCTTCTCCTGGCTGCAATGACATGGAGGCTTCACCTCTCCCGTGTTTATGGGTTTCTTACCTTTATCACTGGGGGAACTGGGCTCAGCTGGGCTGCTCTCAACAGGAAAACGGAAAACTTGGAATTAATGCGTTCGAGTGGGACAAACTGTTGCTTGTTTTGGGGGTTATGGCAAGCATTTGCTTTAATTTCCTTTGGATTTGGATACCATTGGAGAAGTATTCCTAGAGCGTGTGGCCTTTTATTCAGATTTTCGTTTGGGTGACGAAGGGGAGCTGAAATGTGTTGGGCTCCAGGCGAGGGGTATGGTGAGAGGGACTGTCTCACCCTGGCCAAAGTGTATCAAGCAATTGCTTGTGTTTTACTCCTAATCTGAGAAAGGTGATGGAGGCAGAAAGTCCTCGGAGAGCTAAATTCAAAGACAAATGTTTATTGTACCTGAGGGTGGTGTTTCTGCAGGACTTCTCCTGAAATTGCAGTGCTCGAGGGCTACCATAGCGGGACAGCAGCTGGAGGCAGCAGTGAGGAAGCGTTTTGTAAGGCTGCGCTGAACCACGGCGCCTGGAAGAACACCAGCATCAAACTGCTCCTCCGCTTGGACTGAGACGGGAAGAGTCACCCCCACTGAAACGTGAGGATTGTCTAGAAAATTAATTTTAAAAAAAAGGTATTGTGCAGTTCGTAACTGAGGAACTGGAGAACAAGGGCTCCTTTTTGCTGGTGTCAGCTTTTCCTTCCTTTTGAGGACCTTTGCGTGGCCGTGGCAGAACTGGGCCCGAAAGGGTGACCCAGTCCTTGGGGCCAGCCCCAGTGTCTGCCACTGACTGTGCCCGTAGCCCCGTGTCCCCCCCGAAGGACACTCAGCAGCACCAGCCCGGCCAGAGGAACCCTTGTTGCAGGTTGGCAGCTCTGCTGAGGTGCAATTCCCAGGAATGCCCGGAGCAGGAGGAACTTGGAAGCGTCTGGAGTGCGGCCCCTGTGGGGCGGGCAGCAGGAGCAGCAGCTATTCACGGTGAGTCGGGGAAAGCCTGAGCGGTGCTGAGCTGCAGGAGAGTGGGGGCCGGAGAGAGCGTGAGGCTGCTGAGCTGCAGCAGATCCCAGTCCCTGAAGGATGGAGCAGCTGGATTCCCCTGACAGCCCTACATGGGCTCTGCTTCAGGCCCCAGGAAGGGTTTGTGTGCCTGACAGCTTGTCAGGTTTTTTCCCAGCGGTATTATGGGCTCTAATAAAAGATATTACCTCTTCCCACAAACACGGCCCCTTCTCTTCCTCAGTGAAAGGGAGCCCAGGGCTGCCATGCCCCGGGGGGGCGTTGGTGTTGGGCAGAGCTCTGGAGTCGTGCAGTGCGTTCTTGGGCCGGGGGGTGGTTGGTGTAACCTGCCCTCTTTGTTAGGAAAGTGGTGACATGCTGGAAAATCTTTAGGGTAGAAAATGTGTGAGATGGGTGTCCTGGAGGAGCTGAATGGGGCTTCACCAGGGAAATGAGCAGGTGATTTCCACCCCCCCCAGTCCCAGTAGAGTGGAAATGGAAGAATAAAGTTACAGGTCTGGAGCAAAAGGCAGGGATTTAACCAAGTGCTGTGTCAGCGCGTGCCTTTACAGTCGGGGCAGGCTGACAAACCGATGTAAAAATCTATGTTCTTGCCACGTGGATTTTGCAGGAACATTCTTGTGTTCAAGATCTCAAACCTCATCACCTTTCTGAGCATGCCTTGAGAGCAGGTGGGGCTGGAGGGAGGGGGTGATCAGGGAGAGCTGGGGCTGGGTCCCAAAGCTTCCTCTGAGGCGTTTCTAGATGAGTTGTCACCAAAGTAATTTGCTGAACTCAGACTAGAGCTGGAACTGAAAGGCAGCCGATGTTTTCCTGGACTTTTGGAGGGTAACTGAGAATTGCAAGATCTTACTAGTTGGTGAATGAGATTCTTATGAAAATGCTTGAAGATGCTCAAAGCCGGGGCTTTGGTTCTCCCTTCCTCTCTGCTGGGATACCTTGTTGTCTGCCACGAAGCTGGTGAGGGCAACCTGCACGTGGGCAGTCCCGGCCCTCCCCATCCTGCTCCCTGGTGTCACCTCGCTGTCCTCCAGCTGCCGTGTAGCTCTGGAAGCTCTTTTGATGATGTTGGGCTTTTTTTTTTTCCTTGTCTTTCCCCATCACCTCGCTGGGACCAGTCACGGCACGATGGCAGCTCGTCCAGGGCAGTCCTGGGTGCTGATGGAAGCAGTTAAGCTGCCGCCGCGTGCCTGGGTTGGTCCTGGCTGGGCCGGGCAGGCTGGCTGGCTCGTGGCGCAGCGGCAGGGCCGGGATTCAGGCGGGGAGGTTGTTCTCGCCTGCCCTGCCACTCGATTTAGACGGGGTGTTGGGTTTCCTGGAGAACGGGCAGGGCTGGGCCGCGCAGAGCCTGCCTTACCCGTGAAACGCGTAAAGGTTAAAGTGTGCTGCCGAAGTTGTGACAACCGCGTAGCTAGGGAACGGCCGTGCTTGAGCCTCTGCCAGATATCCCCAGGACAGGCTGTTTTCCAGCTGCAGCCAACGTGGACTCTGGCTTAAGTTCCTGAATGGGGAGGGAAAAAAAAAAAACAAACCCTCAACCTCTCAGCCTGAGAAAGCTTGGTGGTGGCGGGTTTGCTTCTGTGCTCTGCAGAGACCTGGAGCACCCCACTGCTCCCCGGGGTGTGGGGTTTTGGATCAAGGCAGCCCAATCCTGGTGTGCAGCAGCTATTGCCCTTCGGCATTACTTTCTTGCAAGAGGCATGTTTTCAGCTTATTTCCCTTTGCTCACAAGTGAATTCTGTCTCGTAACGGTGTCAAACCTTGGATGCTTATTCTTCCCCCTGACCCTTTGGAGAGCCCTTTCGCTGGCTGCCCAGCCCCGCCGTGCCCGCTCTGAGCTTTGCTTCCTCCCCTTGTCCCAAGGCTTCGCGCCCAGACACCAGCCCTGGCTCCCAGGGAGCGTGTGAGGTTGCCAGCGCCCCGGGAAGGCTGGCTGCCTTCCAGCCAGGCCCTCCTGCTTTGCTTGGGGTATTTTATCCCAGCTTCCACTGCCCCAACCCCTCCGAGGGGGCTGCGGGGCACCCCGGGGCTGTGTGGGCTCCTGCTCCCCTGCCTGGTGAGCCGATGGGCTCCTTCCAGCCAGGGCTGGCGGAGCGGTGGCAGCGTGTGCCTGAAGTGACATTGGTGGCCTCCAGCTGCCTGGCAGCCCTTGGCCAGTGGAGGGGAGAGGCAATTCCAAACTGTACGTTGGTGATGACAGTCGGTGGGCAGAGTCCCTGCTGCCCGAGGCACGACATCTCGCCGGTTATTCTGGCCAGCGTGCCCCGGGAAGGCCGAGTCGGGGGGACTCCTGCTTGCCACGGAGCAGTGGCCGTGCTGGGAACAGGTGGTGCGGCTGCCCCCGTCCCCGTGGGCTGGTGATGCCTCAACCTCTGCACGTGTGACTGCATCGGCGCTGCCCGGTGGAGCCCTGTGCCCCCTCCTGCCTGACCCCTCTTGGTTCTCATCCCAGCCCGGGGACGGAGGCTCTCCAGGACGGAGCTGGGCTGGCTCTGAGGGCCAGGGCGGGAGAGCCCCGTGTCTGCTCAGGAGCCCCTGGCCCAACAAAACCCCTTCCCTGCGGTGGGGCTGGGTGCCCGACATGCTTCTGCCATTGCCCTGCTGCCGAGGAGCTGCCGGTTTTGCTGCCAGGACTAGCCGGGCTCTGGAGGAGGCAGCCCCAGCTGTGTCGTTTCCTTTCTCCTTAGGTTAAGCCCCGCGTGGGGGCTGCGAGCCGTGGCAGCCCCAGCCCCCTCCCCTGCTCCCAGCCGCCACCCGAGGCCGGAGCAGCGTCTCTCCCAGGAGTGAGGCCTGTGCCGGCCCCTCTCGGCTGCTGCCCGCAGCCGGGGAAGGGCTCTGGGGGGATGTTTTGTTCTCCCCTGCACCGCTCACTCGCGGTCTCCACCGCAGCAGCGAGGAGGGCTGCAGTCCCGTCCTGCTGCCCGCTCGCTCCTGCGTGGTGCCCCGGGCCTTTGTGTCCCCCCAGGAGCTGCCCCACGCTGGAGCAGGCAGGACAGCAGCACCTCTGGGCTGGGGGGTGGCCATGTCCTCATCCTGGCTCGCTCTCGAGGCCCCGTGCGAGCCAC